TTTATTTCTTAGTATGTTCTGTTGTGAGCACTGTTGTTTAGTTTACGACGCCTTAATATAATTTTTAAGTATACTTTATTTAATTGTCTTATAAGATGTATAATTATTTTCAAGTTAGATTCGACAGTTTTTTTTGTATTATCCCTATAAAAGTTTGCATGTAAGTGGGGTAAAAAAGACCAATTGAACTTTAACCCTAGAAACGGTGTGAACATAAAAAATAGTTTAATAACAGTAGTATAATAAAAATAGTACACAAAACGTAAATTAAGTTAACAAAAGCAATTCTATAAGAGAAGTTAAATAAATACTTATTCTAACTATGCTAATGATTATTTCTAACAAAACCAGATCAAGGTTGTATACAGTGTTGTCTATGTAAAAAATGTGCTCATAAAATGTATATTTTGCATTGGTTGAATAATGTAGCCATTATTTCGTAAAATCTCTTAAAATATCTCGTAAAATATATTAAAGACTTTATAAAAACAAGATCCAATAATCATCATCACAAATTAGAAAATCATCCCGATTTACTCGTTGCTCCGTTGCTCCTTATACCAGAATTTAGAAGACTTAGAAAATTATGGCTTATTAAATTTATCCATAAAATGTTACTTTTAGTAATTACTCACTGGGGTAGATATTTTCTATAATTATATTTAATTAATGTAAATCAAAATATAATGTAATTAATGTTCTGATTGTTATTAATAAAAGAAATAAAATAAAAATGAATAGTCAAGGAATTATCTTTTTTAATTCTCCGATAAAATACAAATTTTATGGCAAGGTTCTATAATTGTATGAGTTGGTAGTCACGAAATGTAAAAAAAACTATGTATTTGCTGTGCCATTTTTACATATAAAGCCTAACGTCCAAAAGGCACAATTGTCAAATAACAATTGTATCGAAAGTGCAACTTTCTGATGTGTCTTTGATAACATATCCATGAAGTTAGGTCTTATCTGTAAAACGCCCGATTGTAAGGAAAATACATGGCTTTTTGACAGTTCGTTACTACCAACCCATGCGAAGATAGACCCGTAATATAGCATTACCATGACATCCCTATTTTACAAAAATAATGTTTCCCGAGGATATGAGTCTAGATAATTAAGGTCGTCGTTAATTGTGATTAATTTCTAAAAAGCTACCTGTATCCCTATATTTTTTTTATGAACTACAGCTTGAAATCACTGTTAAAGATAGACGTTCGCGAGAACGTGTGTTGTGTTATTGTCATCCTGTTAGACGTGTTGACGAAAGGGGAAATACGAAAAATCTCTCAGAGCGAAAAGTGATATGACACCTCGCGCTTCGCGCCCGTACGTGCTTTCGGTGTATAGTTTGGTTCTAATAGCACCAACAAGAGTTTTCCAAGACATACACTTCAGCTCGGAAAATTTCTTTCATCTTAAATAAAGCAATAGTGACAAATTTCAACCATGATTGCAAGTGTTGACAACTTGACACCGAGAAATCAATGGTTATATTAAAAATCTTTTCAAATTGGAGATGCAATAATATAATTTAAATTATAAAACAAAATTATAAATTTTACATGATTTATTTTAAAATTATTTCAGTTTTAGAACAGACATGCTATTAGAGATCGTTCAAGTATTACGTAAGCAGATATATTACAATTATTTACCCCACCATCCCTTTGTTAGCAAAAATAAGCAAAGCTCTTACCCCGTACCCCCATGCTTACGTAAAGATTTTGCAATTAATGTAAAAAAATAAAAATACTACCTATGACGTAATCATCATCCAGACTCCCCTGCCCCCATGTCACCAAATAAGCAAATCAACAACTTCCCCACCCCCTATAGTGCTTAGGTAATACTTGAACGGCCCCTTTATACATTACAGATTTTTTTCTCAGTGAAGTTCAACTGACATAAAATTAGTATTTAAAGTTGACGGCGTTGAGAGTTCGAATCTCGAATCTCGCTTGGACGACCTGACATCGGGCAGCAGCGATGCCCATTTTTACTTCAAAATATAGATCAAAAATGTTTTCATTTGAAAATAAGCTCATTTCGGGCAATGGGAAATCTCTCACTCTATTCTTCGCTGAATCGAGTTGGACAGCTTACGGATCTGCCTTAAGGCAGTGCCACTTATTATTTATTTATCATTGAGAAAATAAAACCCATACTTTTATCATAAGTGCAACTTTATGATGTCTCTTTGGTGACAACACATACGCGTAATTATGGGTAAAAACGACCGATTGCACAGAAAATACAAAGCTTTTTGACAGTACGTGACTACTAACTCATACAATTATAGACCCGTAAAATAGCATTATCAAAGCATTTCTATTTTATCTGAGAATTGGCTCTGGTATTCTGTCAATTCCTCAGAGCCTATAACAGTAAATATCTTGCCTAGTTTTATTATAAAATATTTCTAATATTTTCAACTGTATTTTTTAGCTAGCTCTATTATCTCCCCCCTATAGTATTATACAAATCCTAACATTATCTCTATGATTTCTCAATTTCATCTTCTTCAACTTTCGTTCGACCTTTCGATCACACTTTTCGTAACGTCACAAATTCCAGTTCACGTACAAAAGTTTAAGTCCAAATTAGATAATTTTGGAGATGCTCCTGAAGCTTTTCCTCACAATTTCATCGCCTATTTCAATATCAATCTCTCATTTCTTGAGATTAGTTTATCGCCGATCAGATTGACTCCGATGGATTGCAAGTGAAACAAACGGACCGATAATGGAAAGGCATAGTTGCGCACATGTCGAGCCGTCACGTCATCGCAGATATAATACTGCAATACTGTACACAGTTTGCGAGCTGCGTACTGTTTCGGGGTATAATGGATCTAAAATAGTTCCGGCTCGTAAAACCGCGCGTCGGGGTGGCGATGCACGGATCAGAGCCAGCCGCGAGTGTTAGGATGAGATTGCGACATGCAACCGATACCTAGATCATGAACACTTGCTGTAGAATGTAGATGAAACGTCGATTTAAATTGATTTTGAGGAATAGAAGTATATGAATCAATATTTCATAAACTAAAGAGCTAGTGATTTTGCGAAGATACCTAGATTTTGTGATCATATGATGCCTCTTAAATTCTTTGGTTGCAAGAAATACATTTGAATTCGTTTATATTAAGATCAAAGCAAATTGACAATTGACAAAACAATTGACAACAAAAGTCTTTGTGTGACAATATGAGAACGTCACACAAGACCTTTGTTAAAAAAACTTATCTATGCAAATATGTATGTAGTTATGTATTTTAACAGAGAAACATGGAACTATATGTGTACAGACATACATATTAAACTAGTTGTTATTGTATTTTGCCTTGAGGCAAGTTACATGAACTTCCCGAAATGTATAAATAATCGATTAATTAATAAAAAATAAATTAACTTTTGAGTGATTAAAAGTATTCCGAGTGGATTTATTACACATAACGAACACGTTAACTCGGAGTATTTTCTAAAAGCAAATTTTCAAAAAAATTATAATTGAACAGTTCCGGAGGGCTATGATTTAGTATGTTCATTAAGACCAAGTACTCTATTGTTATATCAAGTAAATCGTCTAATTTTAAATTTTAACTTTCATGAATTTTCAAAATTAAACAACTTGTCGTAAGACCGTAATATTTCAGTAAGTTCTATAAGGCCATGATATATATCACCAAAAAAAGTTCAATAAAACCGGCTTAGATTTCTTTTTTAACAGTTAATTACAAGAAAAAGATTCCGTAGATTTTCCCCTAAAACTAATCAGTATCATTCTCAATTAATATCTTTCGAAAAGTTTTTGATTTTTTAAAATCA